TGTTCCTTACAATTGTAAAATGGGTTATTGGTTTGGAAGCAAAACAGGACAATCAGCAAGAGAGAAGGCTTTCTGATATATGGGAGAATATTCAAGGTATGTAGAAATACATGTCATTTAAATATTGATTTCTCAAGGGAGAGGCAATGTAGAAAAATGATGCCCTTCTGTTCATATGGCATTCTGGCTATATACATGTAGTACATAAATGCAAACTATTAAGTCATTATTTGCTGTGACAGTCCTGCTCTCCACCCCCCCACCCCCAATTATCAGGTGGGAAACTTGGAACAAGTTATTACATGGCCTTCTCTTTGTGCGTGGCTTTCTGAACTCATCAACCAACATAGAAGAGCTATTGTATCAAAATAATGAAGGCTGCTTCAAGTTTGTGCATGATACTTCTACATATTCTTCAATTAAGAGGCTTTCTGAAATCATTATATGCATATGGAATGAATTAGAATTAAATTATTTTGCTTTTATAGCATTTCTGAGGTGGGCTGTGGGCAGAGCAAGGCAGATTTCAAGGCAACAATTGAGGCTTGAGTGGTCCCGAACATGGGGCATTAATCAATATCCATAAACTATTTTCTTCAGTAACCCGAATGATATATTCTGAAATTTTAAAAGATCTCACTATAGATTTGTTTACTGCAATAAAAATATACAAGGAAAAGTTAATAAAATCTAGGATTGAGGGAAGCTGATGAGTGATTTTCTTCCAGATATTCTGAGTCATCTTTTCCACTAATCTTCAAATTAGAATCAAACCTTGTCTCTTTAGTCAGGAACCCACTCATTCCTCCCCAGAGGAAATGAACAGATACTGTATAATCATCCCCCCCCCTCTTTTCAAAATATTTTCTTCATTATTCAGGCAGCTTTCTGCTCTACCCACTCACCTTGCAGGTGAGCCTTTTTGTGCTTCCTCATAATTTATTTATTTTTAATCCTGCCTTTATTACTTTTATTAAAAACTCAATGGACCATACATACACAATGCTCCTCCTTCCTCCTGTTTTCTCTACAAAAACAAGCCTGTGTGATAGGTTGGTCTGAGAGGAAGTAACTGGCCCAAAGTCACCTAGCTGGCTTTCATGCCTATGGTAGGACTAAAACTCAGTTTTGTTAGTTTTTGCCCTGGTAGAACTACTGGACTACCTGCACAACTGCCTACTCCTTCAATGAAATGTGATTTTTTGCTTTGGGCTATTTATATTTTGCTACATTTTGTTAAGTTAAACTACAAAACAAGTCATCTCAGAAGTGACATAGCTGCAGAACAGGAAGAAAGAATATATAGAGCATACAAGCCACCAAGCAATTAAGGACTATTGAAGAAACCAAAGCTAATTTAATTTTTGTTGACCTACAGGCTTAAAGATTTGTTGCATTTTTGTTATTTTACACTTACTGTACACATATTAGAGCCCAAATATACAAATCACCAGTAAACATGTGTAACATCTCTTAAAGAAGCAACACAGATTCTTCCTTAAACATCTTATTACATCTATATTAAAATTCATTTCATAATTAGTTTTTAATTTTTTTACTTCATGTCTCACAAGATGAGAAAGCCAATTGCTATTCTATCTGATAAAATATCCTTGGAAAGTATCTCATCAAATATTCTTTGTGTTAGTGTCCTAGCCCTGGGAGCCGAATATTCTTAAGCAAGTTTCAGCATGAATCAAGTTTAAAAGCGTAGGCTTCAGAACTTCTACCTATTAAAAAAAAAAAAAAAGAAGGAAAAGTACAAACTGGCAAAATGAGACCGAAAATGATAAAAAGGTATTGAGAGTCAGTGAACTCAAACCAGTCTCTGGTGGTTTCAGATGAGATTCCCCCAGAATTAGCAATCCCCATCCCTGGCTACCACTTTATAACCTGGCAAAATTCTAATTTCAAAGGGGAAGGCACATTTACTCTTGGTTTGTATGCTCTAAATCTTCAGTTAATCAAGGGAGCCACACCTTCCTTAAAGACTTCTTTAAGGGACTGCACTCCATTACTAACTACACTGTATAAATACATTGGGGGGGGGGGGGAATAGTTAGGTTTCCTTCTTTTTCCCAGAGACCTCAAAAATGCCTTCCCTAGGCAACGCAGGAAGTAAACATGAACTCTTGAACCTGAACGGCCTGCCCAACAAGCACCTTGGAAGCGAGAGGAGGAGGAGGAGGAGGAGGCCAAAAGCTTTCCCTCATCCCTCGGCATTTGCAGTGGCGAGGACACCCTAGAAAGGGGGCTTCTGTCATGCTGAACTCTTCTCCCGGGTGGGCGGGAGGGAGCTTTTCCCGACTGAAACACGTGTGTGTTATGGTGGGCAAGAGAGGAAAGCGGGGCTCGGGGTTCCACGGCAGCCACGAATTCCCCAGCGTCCCTCCTCTATGGCACCCCGCAACGCCTCCTGCTTTCATTGTCCCTAAAACTCCCTCCACGCGCAGGTTCCACCTTGCTACGCCCCCTCTAAAATCCCCGCTTGAAGCTCCGAGAAAACGGGGATCCCGAGGGCCCTAGCGCTCCCCTACTGGCGGGCCCAAGAGCGGAGAGGCGCCCTCTCACTTCTCCGTCCCACGCCACGCCACGCCACGGAGCAAGGAAGCCGCCCAGACTGGGAGGAGGGCGAAAGCGCCGCGAGCAGGTCCCGCGGGCGCGCGAGGGACGGCAGGCCTCGTCTCAATCCCCGGCCTTTCCTGACGCAGGCCCCCCCACCCCACTCCCGGGCTGGCGAGGGAAGAGACCCCTCCTTACCTGGGCTTGAGGTTGCTGACGCCCCGTTCATAGGCCCAGACGGTGGCGGGTTGCGAAGACGCGGCAGCGGCGGCCGAACCCAATGGATCAGGGTAGCTGGGGGCTGGTGGGTAGTTCCTGTCCATCATCCGAGTGGGAAAGGAGGGGACGCCGGGCTGCGCTCGGGGCCTGGCGCGTAAGGAGCGGCTAGCCGGGGCGGAGGGGGGGGGGTCAGCTGCAGGGACCGAGTAGAGTGGGACGACTCCCCCTTCCCGCTCGCAGGAGGAGGGCAGCTGCGGCGGCGGCCACCCCCCCACCCGGTCCTCCCCTCAATTTCCGCTGCGAGAGGCGGGAGAGCGGCTTGGAACCCGGAGAGCTGCGGCGCGCCGCGGCCAAGTTGGCAGCGAGGGCTGCGAGCCACCTCGCCGAAGACCCATGTCGGGCTGTGGCTTTCCCAGGCTGCCCCTCCCACCCTGCTGCAATTGACTGGGGCCCGATCGGCTTCAGGACACGAGAAACGACGCCCGCCGCCGCCGCCGCCGCCGCCGCCGCCGCTCTTCCTGCTGCGGCCGGTATGCTGGAGTCGCAGCCGTAGCAGGAGAAAAGAGGAGGGCGCCTGCAGCGAGGAGAAGGACGCCGAGCGGGAACGCGAAGGGATTGCTCCGACTCACTTTGTTCCCGCGGTGGCGAAATGAAGCGGCGGCGAGGTGGGGGGGAATGTCCTCTCCGTTCCCGCGGTTTCCATCTCTGCAATGTCTGTACATGAAAAGCTTCGCTGGGATTTGTAGACGGTTGTGCAGTAGTTTTACGCCTTCGCGTATTATGAAATGTAACAAAAGGCTAACAAAATAACGCGCGAAATGGCTTCGTGACCACGTAGCTGGTCAGCTTAAAACGACACATTTTTTTTACTCTTCCCTATTTATGCCTGCTTTAAATTTAATGCCGAATGTCTTAAATTGCTTGTATTTACACACGTGATTTGAATTCTTAGTGTTTTTTTTAATTAGGTATACCTGGACGTGATGGAAAATCCAGGCAAGGTATTGGGGAAACTTGTCTGAAAGTTCAAAAGAAAGGTGTGTGTGTGTAAAATTTTCTTTACGTATATATTTACTATTTCAGAATGCGTGAGGTAAAATACCTGAACAGTGGAACTTCATAAATTGTGTTTTAATTGCTTACGTTTAAATTAGGAGAATCCTCTTCTGTCTGCTGAATGAATCACTGCATGTTTCTGTGCTTGAGTGCTACACTCAACATTTTTTGTATTAATGTTTGAGAATTATAAATAGCAATAACAAGATAATGTAAAAATGAATGCTGTAAAAAAATAAGATGCATCTTTTTAGCACAGAAATACTACTGACTTCCAACTTTTGTGCTGGTGTCTAGAGAGCAGCTGGGGATAGTAGGAAATGCAGTTAAAAGGAGTTTGAGATTAACATCTGAGGGATATTTGTAGTACTTATTCTGGCATGTACCATAGGGACCTACTTTCAAATATGGAAGTTTGAATTATATTCATTGAAAAGGAAGACACAGACTTTGTGATACAACATTGCCATTAGGAATTGTGCAGGGGAAATAGATTAAACAATCTTGTGTTTCATTATTTTGACAAAGGTGGACAACAAAGAATTCAAATTGTTGTAGAATGGTCTGCAGAAATGGCTCCTATAGCAATTCTAGCAAGTTTGTATAAGTCAATATGGCAGACAAATTGGTTTAATATTTTAGTGGCTCAAAGCTTTGGCATGTAACATTTTCTTTCAGAACAAAGATTGGTAAACTGCAGTGCCAAGCATTCCTTAGAATTCCTTTATGTGGGCTGAAAATTGAAGACACTTTTCTGTCATTCTTAGGTGAGAAGCAAAAATGGTAGTCACAATCACATTTGGACAACTTGAAGAACCAAGTTAGGAACAGATTGCCATGGTGAAAAAATTGTGGTTACTGACTAGATAGACTTATTTTAAGGCACTATTAGATGCTAACTTTAGTTTTTAAAAACCTTTCCCCCTCTAAAAATTCAGATGCACTTTTGTTTGCTATGACCCAACCTCACCTTGCAGCCATATTGTCCTCAAGTAAGTAATGAAAGAATAGCAATTACATCATGTCTTCTTTTTGAGTTCCTCATGAAAGTCTGTTTAACATCTAAACTGATCTTTGGCTTCATTTAGCAAGGCAGTTTTTCAGATATCAGACATTTTCTTTCAGTTTCATTATTTAATTGGCATTAACAAAGAAAATGGAACTAGGTACAAATAGTTATTTTATTTATAAAAACTTATTGATAACACCCACATGGATATATTCTTCCTAGTATAAGAAACATCAGATATTCAATTAGATAATTGAAATTATAATGTGTTAGCAGTTTTATCATAGGAGAGCCAGTTTGGTGTAGTGATTAAGGCATTGGGCTAGAAACCAGGAAACTAAATTGTAATCCTGCCCTAGACACAAAGATGAAATGGAGCCAGTCACTTTCTCCTAGCCCTAGAAAGCTAGCAATGGCAAAGTACTTCTGCCAACATTATTGCCAACAAAACTAAGGACTGGACCAGGTAGTCACTAGTAAACACATTTTTATCATGGGAGAAAATTCAAAAGAAAAATACGCTAGAAAACGTGTAATTTTCAGAATTGAAAATAAAACTCAGTTATAGGAAAAAGGAAAAACTGCACATCAGTTTACTCAATGGCTCAAAATGCATAGAAGCCAAGTTCACACACAAATGGAAATATCATAAACTGAGTCTTTTAGAATTATTAGAACATCGGAGAAATGGGTTCCTTCCTGTTACCCTTTAATCCATCATGGGCAGGCAACTTCAGACTGTCTTAGAGTGCTATATTATAGCATTTCAGCTGCACATCTTTTATTAAGACTAATTTTCAACAGTTTCATATGGACCATATTTGTTCATCAAGGACCCGGAAGAGAGAGAGACTTTTTGAATACTTTGAGCTTTCCTGAATGTCCAGGATATGGTGGAGGTGGAGAATCATAATTTTCTCTTAATGCCATTGCTTGATCATAAGTTGGCAATCCTATCTGTCCCATAGTACGAGGAGGGACAGGATTTAAAGAAAACTCTTCTCGTCTTTGGAAGACGATGGAAGAATTATGCCTCCTGGAGCTTCTGTGCCTAGAATAAAAAAAAAACACCTTTGATGAATAAGGACAACTAAAAGTCAGGCTAATTAATCAACTGAAATCACTAACAATATTTTCAGCTTCCTAGTTTAGAAGTTAGTTAATACAACCTTACTAATTAACATCTTCCAGAGTGGGAATGTTGAAAACATTATTCCCAATACATCTAAAAGAGGTTACATTGGGAAATGTAATTATCTATTCTGAGAAAGGTAAAAAAAAAAATTAGCTTCCCAATATTTTCCTTTGTACATCCGTTCTTTAGATTCTGTGATACACCATGGAATCATAATTTGAAAGTCATAGAGATACTTTTTTTTGAGAGATGAAGTGTCCTTCCTATGAAATCAGGGTCATTATAGTATAGTGAATCAATACTCTGAAAAAATGTCTTGAATGAGGCAACCCTCTATTTCCCTTAACGTCTGCTGATGGAAAGAACTATGAAGTTAAATTGCAACAATGGTAACCTCTGAATACAAATCAGAGCACAAACCAAGGGGAAAATGCTTGTGAGTTTACTTATTCCAAGAAAAGCAAGCCCAAATTCCTGATTGATGTGTAATACTAAACAAAACATGGATGAGATCACCAGATTTGTTTGCCTTGCCAAATAGCAGCAGAAGCCAAATCAGAGTGACGAAATGAATCAGGAAATGGCTTGTTTTCAGATAAACCACAATTATAATTCTAGTTTGGTCATGGATATTATACCCCTTAAGTCCAAAAATTTATGTTAAAATTTCACATTTCATTCTAATGAAATGAAAATTCATTTTAGAGTTTTCTATCCACTTTTAAGAGTTATAAAGATTTCCAAGTAGCTTCTGGAACAGAAGACACAGAAACAAGTAGACAATAATCTCCAAGCAAAGGCCATCTCTGCTGTTAAACTCAAATTCCATAAATTATTTATAAACCCATCAGAGGTTTTAATGGCAGTAGGGTTTTAGGATAAAAATTAACTATTTTGGGCATTTGGAGCATAGTGTTAAGTTTCTTGAAACAATTTTATATTGAATATGGGACAATGGAATGTTTTTATTGAAATGGGTTTTTTAAAGATGCCTCTTTATAATTACTGTCTTTAATTACCATTACCATTAAATGAAAATAAAAATTTCAAAATGTGATTTTGTTTCCAGGTTCTTGCAACCTAATTCTCAAAGTCTGTGGTTTATTTTCTGCCAGAGCTTAAGACATCAAAAAATGGGGATTGCCTTCATTTTTATCCCAGAAGAATCCTCCTGAAGTAGATTAAATTGAAAATGACTGGTCCAAAGTCACTCAGTAACATTTTTGAACATGGACAATTTAAACATAGTTGGTTTGAAAACAGATTCACAAAGCATCACCATTACTATGCAGGCCATTTCTCATAAGTACATACTATACTGCTCTAATGTCTAAACTCAATTTTCAGAAGCTTTAAAATATTTCTATTTCAGGTTTATTTCATATAATTTTGTTTTCTTTTGATCAACAAAAACTATCTCACTGATTATTTCTCCTTTCTGGTTATTATGGTATGGGTCAGAGGTGGGTTTCAGTAGGTTCTAACCAGTTCTGGAGAACCGGTAGCGGAAATTTTGGAGTAGTTCGGAGAATCGGTAAATACCCACTCTAACTGGCCCCGCTTCCCTCTATTCTCTGCCTCCCAAGTCCCAGCTGATTGGGAGGAAATGGGGATTTTGCAGTAACCTTCCCCTGGATTGGGGAGGGAATGGAGATTTTACAGTATCCTTCCCCTGCCATACCCACCAAGCCATGGCACACCCACTGAACCACTAGTAAAAAAATTTGAAACCCACCACTAGTATGGTTACATTGCACTTACATTGCAAGTAGCTTACATGTGGGAGATGAGAATAACAAATCTGATCATGGGTAAAATGTTATTCCAGAAATTTATTAAGAAATATAACACTGCAGGACCCAATCTGGGTCGATCACTGGGACCAGAGATGATCGATCCGGATTGGATCCTGCAACATTATCCTGGGACACGTATATTTACCTTCATTCGTGACATATAACACTGCTTGCAGGTAATACAGAACAATTATATATATTCACATATTCTTGGGATAATGGGAAAAAAGACATTGCATTTGAAAATAAAATGTTAATCGGCAATTCATTGTATTTTATACATTAGCTCAAAGTAGAGATTAAGTTGAATTAAACATTCATTTCACTAACTTTTCACAAGACATTTTAAACTCTTATGAAGTTCTGAAGAAATGATATCTTGTTACAACAATGCAAATCTTTCTAGGGGAAATAACAACCAACTGGAATTATGACAAAACACAGCCAATGAAATAGTTACACTCTATTTCTACTACCATGTGATGCAAATATGATTAATATAGCCTTACAAATAACTTTATTAATTAGGTACTTATTTGTTCTATGCAATAATGAACATAGGAGAAGCATGAAAGCAAAATAGTTATGCAAAAAGATAAAAACATTTTTAAAAAGACATTTTAAAATGGCACAGACTAATAGATACGGGCAATGAGTTATAATATTGTCATCTTTCCAGACCACAACATCTCATACTATTTGGAGACAGAAACTGCCATTTGCTATTTTAAGAAGCCAAATGACAATTATAAAAGAAGTAAATTTCTGCCATCACTAGTGGTCATTCTCAAAAGGATAAAGTGAAATGCTACTTTTATGAAAAGAGTTAAGGTTTTCTATTATCAAACATACTGAAGGCTGCTGAAGTTATTACTCTGAATTCATTGTTCAACAATGCTGTGAGATATGGGCATATCTTGTACACCTTGTAACAATTTGAAAAGGTAATATTCCACAAAAGCTGAGAAGGTATATTTATACTGCATGCCATGATTTTTAAAGGTTGCTGTGGTTTATTCAAAGAATTAATTACAAACAAATAACATTCATTCCTTTTTCCTGAAAATATTATTGGTGAACAATCATGCTATGTTGTTGCTCAATAACCACTCATCCAATTTCTAAGAAGCCATATCATACCTTCATAGGCTATCAAGTAAAAACTATTTGCAAGGATTAAAGCTCTCTCCCACAATGTTTTGTTACTGAAGAACATGTTAAGGGATGATCTCAGTAACTAACAATAAATACTTGTTTGAATAACAGTACATTCTAAAATCATCAATGTCCTAGGAACAATCCTATTCTAGATATGCTTTACAAACTGATGGCACTAAGGATAAGCTTTCTCACTCCTTTGGAAGACAACTAATGTGTCAAGATGTACATTGTAATGCTGTGTTATAAAATACACACCATTTATTCAGTTTTGGAACACCAGCCCCCTTATTGCCAGAAAATATGAATTGTTAATTTTTGCTACTCATATTGCAATATCCAAGGAAACATGGGTACAAATATAGAAGTTTTAATACCGTGTTTCCCCGAAAATAAGATAAGGTCTTATTTTCTTTTGAACCCCGAAAAAAGGGCTTGGCCTTATTATCGGTGGTATTATTTCGGGGGTGGAGGCCTGGGCGGCCTGCGCACTCAAAGCCGGGACTCCAGCAAGAGAGAGAGGCTCCCTTCGCGCGCTGCCGTCAAGCCCCTCCCCTCCTGCGGGGTGTGTGTGTAGAACATGAGCAGCCTGAAGGTGCCAAGCTGTATGAGTGACTGTCCCCACCCCCCACTCGCGCGCCTCCCAGACCTCACCATGTCGATGTGGGCGAAGCCGGTGAGCACCAGGTCCTTGAGCTCATAGCCAATGCTGCTGGCACCGACCACCAGCACCCGCACAGAAGCCACAGCCTGGACCAGCTCTCCCTGCAAGCTCCAGCTCCAGCCGTCACCACAGAGTGGGAAGCACACTCCCAGAGCAGCTGCTGCCCTGGCTGGGGTTTGGAAGCCGCAGAGGCAGAGTTTGGGGGAGAGAAAAAAAGACTTCTGCTGCTTTCCTTGCATGCAGCCAAAAGCAGAAGCAGCAGAAGTTTTTTTTTCTCTCCCCCAAACTCTGCCTCTGCGGCTTCCAAACCCCAGCCAGGGCAGCAGCTGCTCTGGGAGTGTGCTTCCCACTCTATGGTGATGGTGGCCTGAGGCCTCCCCTTACCCCCCTGCTCCTCTCATCTCCGATTGTCTGAGCGCTGACTGAGCAAAGCATCCGCTGGCAAGCCTGCAGGTTCAGTTTACTCTTTCCATGTGCCTAGCAGCAAGATGCTGGGCAGCCACGCCGAGGGCAGCGCCAACAGACACAGCTCGGCCAGCCCAGCCATGGCCAATGCTCCACACCCACGGCTGAGCTGGGCCACCGGTGGCCGCTCTGTGAAGAAAGCCCCAGGGCAACAATGCCTGCGCTGGGGCTGCTGTGGTGGGCGTTCTGTAGTGCAGGCTATGCGGACGCGGCGCCTGGGCATGGGGGCGAGAGCGGGTGGGCTGTTACCATGGCACAGGAGCAGAAGCAGGCGCTTGACGTCTACGGTCGGTGTCATGGGTGGCGAAAGGGGCAGGGGGTGCAGTAGTTTGCAGGGATGTGGCTGCCTTGGGAAGGTTGAGGGGGTGAGGGACCTGTGTGTGTGTGAGAGAGGGAGGGGGGGAGGGGCTTATTTTCAGGGGAGAATGTATATTTAGGCCCAGCCCAAAAATCAGACTTGGCCCCATTTTCAGGACGTGTCCTATTTTGGGGGGGAAACAGTATGTTATTTAATCTTTATTTTAAAAAATCACACAATTTCAAGATTCTACACTTTATTTAATTTGTTAGGAAATTTCTGTAAAGAATTATGACTGAGATAGATTTTATGCAGTGCATAAGAAAAAGTCACAGATTCAAGACCTGCCACATCAAGCTAGGGCTGAAAATAATCCAAATGAAACCCTGTAAAATTGTAGAGTTCCTACTGAATTACATAAACCAAAATTTGGACTCAGCATAATACACTTTCTAAATTCCTCTTTATTATTATCCATATTTATCCTATCCTTCAATTCCTAATTATTAGTGGACTACAAGTTCTCTTAAATACTTAAATCTTATTTGTGAAGGGGTGCTCTGACCTTCGTTATTTGCATGCAGACATTTCATTACTCAAAATAGGTAACATCATCAATGCTAGTAAGAGTGGAATTTGCTCCCAGTTTATATTCTAATGGATTGCCCTGTCAAGTGTTGGTGGAAGTGGTCTTGGAGATTCTTTGTTGGGTTGGGTTGTTTACTGCTGACTTGTTGGCAATTCCAGGATTGTTAGTCTGATGTTCATCTTGGAGTTAATCTATGCTCAATCTAGGTGCTGATTGCAGGTGGGGAGGTGTTTTGGTCTTTTTGTTCCCTTTTTGGCTTCTTGATTGTCTCTTTTGCATAGTATATAGATCAGTGGTGGGTTTCAAATTTTTTTACTACTGATTCTGTGAGTGTGGCTTGGTGGGCATGGCATGGCTTGGTGGGCATGGCTTGGTGGGCATGGCAGGGGAAGGATACTGTAAAATCTCCATTCCCACCCTACTCCAGGGGAAGGATACTGTAAAATCTCCATTCCCTCCCCAATTCAGGAAAATCCCCATTTCCTCCCTTATCAGCTGGGACTTGGGAGGCAGAGAATAGATGGGGGCAGGGCCAGTCAGAATTTTTACCGGTTCTCCAGAACTGGTACTCAAAATTTCTGCTACCCGTTCTCCAGAACTGGTCAGAACCTGCTGAAACCCACCTCTGATATAGATATTATTTATGTCTATACCCTAGCATTTTTGAACATTGTTTGGTCTAGACTAGGATGGTCACGATTTCCCAATTGAAACTATGGTTAAGCCTGTCCATGTGTTGTGAAATTAAAGAGTTTTCATCATGTCTTCTCACTGCTAATTGGTGTTCATGGATGCGTTCTGCCAGTCTTCTGCCTGTTTGTCATTACGTAGCGGCTGTTGCAGTCATTACGTTGTATGTTGTAAATAACTCCTGTTTTTTTCTTCTAGGGCTGCTGGGTCTTTTGGTTTCCTTAAGAGGATTTAAAGTACTATTGTTGGCATGTGCCACACCGATTCCATGTAGTTGTAGTAATCTGTTAGTGGTTTCTAAGATTTTCTCGATGTTTGGTAGTGTTATTCTTTTAGGGTTTGTGTTAGTTGTGCTTTATTGGGTTGAATGGTCAGGAACCTTTTGATAAAGTAGTGTGGATATTAGTTGGAATATGTTGAATAGATGCTCTATTTCCTCTTTCTGCTATTCAGGTTTGCTATAGTGAGTTGTGCTAGTCTAAATAAGGTTCTCATGCAACTTCTTTTATCAGAGGTTGGGTTGTTGCTATGGTAGTACAGCACTTGATTGGTGTGGGTGGTTTTTATGTACACATGTTTCTAGTTTGCCATTGTGGTCTCTTCTGATCAGGATGTTCAGGAAGGGTAGTGGGTTTTCTCTGGTAAACTGGATTCTTTTGAAGATGTTGATGGTACTGATGGTGTTCTCTAACTGGTCTTTTTTATCATGGTGAAGGTATCATCTACATATCTGATCCCTATTTTGGGTTGTATTTGCGGAAGTGCTATGACTTCGAGACATTGCATAATGACCTTTTCTATAAATCCTAAAGGCGGTAATCTCATAGGTCTACCTTTAATTGGTTGGTAAGTTTGTCCATAAAATTGGAAGTATGTGGTTAGGCAGATGTTTATGAGTCTATAATCCTTGGTGTTTCAATTAGTTGAAATTCAAAAACACTGCTATACATCAAGAACATCTCAGAAACCACCAACAGACTACAAACACATGGAATCGGTGTGACACAGAAGTCAACTAAAGCCCTTCAAAACATCTTAAGTAACCCAAAAGATCTAGCAGCCCCAGAAGAAAAAACAGGAGTTATCTACAACATACAGTGCAATGACTGCAACAGCCACCACATAGGATAAACAGAAGAATGGCAGAATGTATCCATGAACACCAACTAACAGTCAGAAGACATGATGAAAACTCTTTATTCTAGTGGCTTTAATTTCACAAGATATAGACAGCTTTAACCAAAGTTTCAATTGGGAAACTGTGACCATCCTAAACCAAGCCAAGTCCAAAAATGCTAGGAAATTTCTAGAAGCCTGCATTCTGACAAATTAGCTATCAGTAAATACACAGACATAAACAATATCTATAAATTATGCAAAAGAGATAATCAACAAGCCAAAAAAGTAACAAAAAGAATAAAACACCTGCTGACCTGCCATCAGCACTCAGAGGAGCATAGATTAACTCCAAGATTAACATCAGACTAAAATCAAGTAAATACCCCAATCAAGGAACTGCCAAGCAAGCAAACAGCCCAGCCAAAGAATCTCTAAGACCATCCCTACCAACACCGATAGGCAATCCACTAAAATGTAAATTGAGAGCAAACCCACTCCTTACTAGCACTGATGATGTTTCCTAGTTTGGATAATGAAATGTCTGGAAGAAAACAACAAGCTCAGAGAGTATCAAGGACCCCTCATTTCAATCCTGAACTACAAATATTCTCCTTTATTGGAATCTTATCTGCCAAGTCAGTCTTCCAAAGCTTTATCTATTCAAGCACATGACCTTACATTTGAATATCTTCCTGTCAGATTTTTTTTGAGCTTGTTGAGGTTGTTTCGAATTGTGCTTTTGTCTAGGGTATTAATCCCCATCATCCAGTGTCGTCTACAAATTTAATATGTATACATTCCATCTCCATATATTCCAAGTCATTTTTAAAGACGTGAAATAGCATTGGACCATTCAATACAGCACCAGGTTATCAATATTTCCCCTCCAGGAAGCTATAGAACCATTTATGAACACTCTTTGGATGTACTTATTCAGACAGTTGCAAATGTTTCAGATCCTATTACTAACTAGTACATATTTAACCACCCAATATCCTAACAATATGATATACTACACCACAGAATTCCTTTCATCTGCCAAACTAGTCACTTTGTCATTAAAAAAAACTAAGACGAACCTAACTTGTTGACAATTTCATGCTGACTTCAGATAATGGTAGCAATTCTTGGCATCATGGCTTGTTGACAATTTGTTCTATTATAGATTGCCCATTAAGAGACATTAACCTAGCTATAATTTCCTGGGTCAATCATCTTCACCTTTTTGAATATTAGAATTACATTTTTTCTTCAAACCTTTGTCATCTCACCAATTCTCCAGACGTTATCAGGTACATACAGCATAAATCTATGCAGGATATAACTGGTAAATGTAATCATAAATACAAACTATGGTATGTGCTGATACTATAATATGTTTAATGTTGATATCAACACTGAAAATGATATTGATAACTATAACATTTATTTTCTTACCCTGGTAATCTTGGTTTGCATCTTCTTTGGCACAGATAATAAATAAGCAATCCAAGTATTATCAATAGTACTCCAATTGCAATCAATCCAGTCAAAAGTCCTATAACGTCAATCTTCTCTACTGCTTTGCCGTCTGCACATAAAGGAAAGACTGTTAAGTGTATTCAACCATCTCAGTGTTTCCTGATCTACCCTAAATCACATTTTAATCCAGTATTGCCAGAAAAGAGCCTTGATAGTACAGTGGTTTAGTGTACCCTGTTATTAACACAGCTGCCTGCAATTTCTGCTGGTTCGAATCTCTCCAAGGCTCAAGGTTGACTCAGCCTTCCATCCTTTCTAAGGTAGGTGAAATGAGGACCCAGTTTGTGGGGGCAATAAGCTGACTTTGTATAAAATATACAAAAGAATGAAGGCTATTGCTTAACGCATTGTAAGCCGCCCTGAGTCTCCGGAGAAGGGCGGCATATAAATCAAATTAAAAAAAAAAAATGTGATCACAGTATGCTAATAAATATAAGGAACAAATTCCTTAAGTTATTCCCTAGATTTATAAAAGTAATATCCATTATGTATGTTTTGAAGTACAATTAAATGCTAAAGAATTAGGTGACAAGTAACAGTCAGAGGTGACTTCTGTACGAGAAATTCTCAAAACTTGCTGAAACCCAATAACTTATTCATGGAGGTAATGTGACTAGTTTTAACAGGCTTTTACATGTGTGTGTGTGTGTGTGTGTATGAGAGGGAGAAGGAGGGAAGAGAGAGAGGGAGGGAGAGTGGGAGAGAGAGAGAGTGAGAGATGGTTGTCTTATTTTTTTTCTATGCTTCCATTTCTAGGAAATTTTGGTGATTTTGTATGACAATTTTCTGGCTTTTAGGCAGGAAGATCCAAAGATCCTTTCTATGGGGTGTAAGTAGAACTCTCATTGACTCCTGCAGCAATAGGTCATGTCCCATAAAGTACCTTAACCTTTACTCAGTCAACACAAAAAATTCCTTCTTTGCTCCAGCTGAAGGTTCTTTGAAGAATATCTAAAAACTGCCCAACTGGATAGATTAGGACATGTCAGGAAATTCAACCTGACCAGTGGTAGCCTATCTTAAGTATCTTCTATTAAGAAATTCTTGGAAGGGGTCAACCAAAAAAGTTTTATATTGATATTCTTCAAATTTGCACCAGTAACTTAGGAAAGATTTGGGTAGGAGATTCAGATGGGGGAACACTACAAACTACTGTAGAAGCAGACATTTTGCTAACACAATGTTAAAATTTCTGGAAATGCTTAAAATTTCCATATATTAGTCCACAGATAATTCAGAAGTATATGACTTGCATGATCACAACAGAGCAGATAATGGCAGGAAATTAAACATCTGAGTTAACAAAACCTTGCCCTTCTATGCATTACCAGTTTGATAGAAAACACATTTCCATATATAAAATATAGCATCTAAAAGAGAAAATGCCAAGTCATAATACTGTAAATACACTTTTCTAATATAAATGTAATCATTTTTGCTGAAATAGTAGCGTCAACAATTCCTTTATTCTGCTGTGTCTATCAGAAGAACCACAACAAATTTCTTATTGAAGAAGAACACACTGATTACAGCTTGGATCTCGTCTGCTACATCCACTGAAAAAACAACCGTACTCAATCACAGACAGAAGAATAAACCAAGATACTATATGTCAAAATAATTTTAATACATCACTATGTTGTTTTTGTCTTACCTGTTTTTGAGCCAGGACCTCTAAGAGTATATTCAGACCAAAAAGACATCTAAGAAAACAAAAACAAATGTGCTTAGATTATGTCTACATGAGCCTGACCAAGTTTGGCTAATATATATATATATATTTTAAAGTAGACATATTTTGCCAGATCAACTTTTAATTGTACTTGCTTTCAAATGTTAAAACTAGACATTAACTATCTCAACTGATATTGATATTTTTGAATTTGAAATTTCAATTGTCTTTGATACTGGGGAAGAGGAAGACAGGAGAGACGTGATTTTATATTTTAAATAAATTATTTTGAGTCACTTTAGAAACAAATTGAAATAGTTGGATCGTGACAATTATTGAATTTTGTTCCCAGAATGTGACACATTTGTTGCACTGAACAGTGGTGTTTGTTTCTCAAAGCTCTGTTTATTTAATTTACATTCTGTCTTTATACTTGAGTGAATATTCAAAAACTATTGCAGGGATATTACATTTTACCAGCATCCAGGATACCATAATGTGATGCTGGAAAAAGGAAACTGTTTCCACAAGAAGCACATCTTTTCCTAGAAAAAGTACTGCATGGAATATGTATGAACACCGCTGGCATTAACTGATACTGTTTAGGATTTTTTCATATCATCCACATACGGTTTTTACAAATCACATCCTTAGTGCCGTCATACATTTGCAATATGGGTTGAGATCCATACTTTTCTAGATAAATATAAAAATATATATCCACATACCCACTACACATTTCAAATCCTTCTCTCTGTAAAACATAGACTGGTAAATGAAATGGTGGGTATCTTGACACTGCTAAAATGATCACACAAAGTTTGAATAACCAGTTTTCTTAGTCCCAAGAAAAATAAAGTAGGTATTCCTATTTCACATGTGTTTGGATTTATAGACATTCATGTGTATATTTGATGCCTGCTTTCTAAATGGGATGGTTTCCATTCCTGCATGACGGAACTTAGAATAACTTTGTCACTCTGAATCAGGGGTGAAATGCTCCCGGTTCGGACCGGATCGCTCGATCCGGTAGCGATGGCGGTGCGTGGTTCGGAGAACCGGTAGCAAAAATCCCTGCCCCCCCCCCATGCCCAGCTGAACCGCGTGATCATCAGAGGCTGTTTTTTTTACTTTTAAAAGCATTTTTTCTACAACTTCTTTGGCTGAAAAAATGCTTTTAAAAGTAAAAAAAACAAAACCCTCTGATGATCGCGCGGCTCAGCTGGGATCGGCAGAGCCTTTTAAAAGCAATTTTTCTACAACCTCTTGGGCCGAAGAGGTTGCAGAAAAAAAATGCTTTTAAAAGCCTCTGATGATCCCAGCTGAGTTGCCTGATCGTCAGAGGCTTTTAAAAGCATTTTTTTCTGCAACCTCTTCTGCCGAAAAATGCTTTTAAAAGTAAAAAAAAAAAGTTGGCCATGCCCACCCAGTCACATTAACCTCCCTCCCCACCAAGCCACGCCCACAGAACCGGTAGTAACAAATTTTACATTTCACCACTGCCCTGAATATACATTAATTGGTATAGATTAAAATGAAATTTCATTATATACAGCTCTCAAAGGATCAGTTCAAACAACTGAAGAACAAGATGACCAGGGCTAACTTAGAAGGCTTCATTATTAGGGTATATAAAAAAAGTTAACAGCTGCTCCTATGCAGAGTATGCTGTTGACTTGTTATCAATCAAAAGGCATCCACATGTCAAATGTTCAATAGCATTTGTAAGTTAAATAATTACTGTCTTTTTTGAATCTCCAAAAATTTCCCTTGCTTCCTCAAAATTGCATTGCTCTTCATAGCATTCTCTTTCAAGATCTCCTTGGGTTATTAGTTCAAAGTCAAATCGGTTGTATAGAAGATGTCGTCCAATGAATAAATTGGCTTTCTCTGCAAGGATGAATACTAAAATATAGTTAAAATAATGTTAATATCTTAGAATACCAAGGATTTGTTAGAATATTTAAAACTCCTCTCCACTTTGTTATATAATTCTTTGTATGCTCATTCTTTTATTACTGCTACATTGAGAAAGTCAAGATATCATTCAATGAATATTTTTAATCATGTTATACAGTCAGGTCCAGAAATATTGGGACATCGACACAATTCTAACATCTTTGGCTCTATACACCACCACAATGGAGTTGGAATGAAACAAACACAAAGTGCGTTAACTACAGACTGTCATCTTTAATTTGAGAGTATGTACATCCAACTCAGGTGAACGGTGTAGGACTTACAGCAGTTTGCATATGTGCCTCCCATTTGTTAAGGGACCAAAAGTAATGGGACAGAATAATAATCATAAATCAAACTTTCCCTTCTTAATACTTGGTTGAAAATCCTTTGCAGTCAATCACAGCCTGAAGTCTGGAACGCATAGACATAACCAGACACTGGGTTTCATCCCTGGTGATGCTCTGCCAGGCCTCTACTGCAACTGTCTTCAGTTCCTGCTTGTCTTGGGGCATTTTCCCTTCAGTTTTGTCTTCAGCAAGTGAAATGCATGCTCAATGGGATTCAGGTCAGGTGATTGACTTGGCCATTGCATAACATTCCACTTCTGTCCGTTCAAAAACTCTTTGGTTGCTTTTGCAGTATGCTTTGGGTCACTGTCCATCTGCACTGTGAAGCGCCGTCCAATGAGTTCTGCAGCATTTGGCTGAATGTGAGCAGATAATATTGCCCAAAACACTTCAGAATTCATCCTGGTGCTTTTGTCAGCAGTCACATCATCAATAAAGATAAAAGAACCAGTTCCATTGGCAGCCATACATGCCCACGCCATGACACTACCACCACCATGCTTCACTGATGAGGTGGTATGCTTAGGATCATGAGCAATTCCTTTCCTTCTCCATACTCTTCCCATCACTCTGGTACAAGTTGATCTTGGTCTCATCTGTCCATAGGATCTTGTTCCAGAACTGTGAAGGCTTTGTTAGATGTTGTTTGACAAACTCTAATCTGGCCTTCCTGTTTTTGAGGCTCACCAATGGTTTACATCTTGTGGTGAACCCTCTGTATTCACTCTGGTGAAGTCTTCTCTTGATTGTTGACTTTGACACACTTACACCTACCTCTTGGAGAGTGTTCTTGATCTGGCCAACTGTTGTGAAGGGTGTTTTCTTCACCAGGGAAAGAATTCTTCGGTCATCCACCACACTTATTTTCCGTGGTCTCCCAGGTCTTTTGGTGTTGCTGAGCTCACCGGTGCATTCCTTCTTTTTGAGAATGTTTCAAACAGTTGTTTTGGCCACGCCTAATGTTCTTACTAGCTCTCTGATGGGTTTGTTTTGTTTCTTCAGCCTAATGATGGCTTGCTTCACTGATAGTGACAGCTCTTTGAAGCTCATCTTGAGAGTTGACAGAAACAGCTTCCAAATGCAAATAGCACACTTGAAATGAACTCTGGGCCTTTTATCTGCACATTGTAATTGGGATAATAAGGGAATATCACATACCTAGCCATGGAACAGCTGAGAAGCCAATTGTCCCATTACTTTTGGTCCCTTAACAAGTGGGAGGCACATATACAAACTGCTGTAAATTGTACACCGTTCACCTGAGTTCGATGTACATACCCTCAAATTAAAGATGACAGTCTGCAGTTAACACACATTGTGTTTGTTTCATTCCAACTCCATTGTAGTGGTGTATAGAGCCAAAGATGCTAGAATTGTGTCGATGTCCCAATATTTCTGGACCTGACTGTATATTTTTAATCTACGATGTTTTCCAAATCACACCAGAAAACCATGTGGTCATTGTGGCTTAAATTATACATTATTTTTTCTACATTCCTGCAATCATGGCAGCATGAGAAAGATGCCAGATGCCGCCTACATGCCAGAACCCACTTTTTAGATTGTCATTTATTATTACCGAACTCTGTGAATTAAAGGATCTTTTACTTAAATATTATAAGATACAATACCATAAAAACACTTTAAAAAATACCTGCAGTTTCAAAAGATGCAAGACATAATTTTCTGACCAAACAAAACTATAGAAACAGAAGAGCTGATAAGCACAGTATTTTTTAATAGTCTCTTTTTAAAACTATCTCCATTTTTCTATAAAATGCAAAAGATGGGACAAGCTTTGTTTGGCAGCATTATTTTATTCATTGTTGCCTTCATTGACTTTTGTTATATTTTAACATATATAAGTGGATTTCCCAAGGAAAAAATACACTTACATTACTTGTTACTGTTAAGGCAAAAAGCTAATTGTTTTTAATCCCTATTTCATAGCACTGAAGGGAAATTTTATATAGGAAAGCTTATGTACTGCAGTGGGATGCCGATATCTTAATAACTGAACATAGATATTTTCTGATATTTAGGAAAATGTGACTATTTCCCATAATCAAGGAATACAGTTCTGTAAGACCACACGACTGGAATATATGGACATGGTACCCTAGATATCTGCTAGTTTCCAACTGCAAAAGGTCAACTTGGCCAAAAGTCAGAGAATGTTGGAGTTATAATCAAAGACATACAGATACTATGGATATGACTGTTCCTTAGCATGTCTTGTAGTTTAATCTTATTGAAACCCAGTATTACTTTTATATTTTAATTTTGCAAAGTCACTTAGCAGTAAAAATTGGAAGTCAAGTGTGGAATGTGTCTCCTGCAATTAGAGGTCTCAAAGCTGAGTTTCTATGTTTCTCAGTTTTGCCTTTATACCATGAGTGGCTGGCTTGTCTGAGAATTTAAGTGGTAAGGAGGTCACTTCTAGCTTGAGGAATGGAATCACCCCCTTACTGTAATGGTATCACCCACTTTTCCCTCAATTCCCCAGCCAACAAAACTATTGCAATTACTTTTTTTAAAGGGGGAAGAGGCAAAATCTCACCCAAGTCTAATTTTACAAAATATACCCATGTTCTTCCAATATCTATGTTACATTAGCATGCATCAATATAGATCTGTAAGGACTTTTAGAAGTGCATTATCTTTATCTAACTTACTTATTAGAAAAATATTGTAAAAAGATAATGAGCAGGAATTTATTAAAAAGAAGCTGAACTTGCCCAAAGAGCTATCAAATTTGGTAAGACTTGAGTCTGTCAAGGCAACTTTTTAAAAAGTTTAGGGATATGGTCAGCAGAAATATTGGCAAATTTCTATCATCTATTGGACAACTTGGCTTGATCTCAGAAAGGTAATGAGGTTACACCTGGTTAGTCCTTGAATTTGGTCTGTTTGATTTGTGCTTTTAAATCAGCCTTAAATCCTGGTGACTGTGGTAGCTGGACAGGACCCAGAAGTTTTCTTCACAATTTCAGAACTAGCTAGAAGCTGCAGACATACCTGATGAAGAAATCTGGTAAATGTTTGGCTATATTAAGGGATTATTAATGATGTTGGTGAATTGTACTTTCATTACAGGAAAATGATGTTCTAGGAAGGGTAGATCATATATTTATATAACTGGCTGTAACATATCATTGTGATGTTTAACAAAATATGCTAAAGAGAAATTGTCTGGGGAAAAACTGGTTTAAATCCAGAACAATTAATTTTTTGTTTCATTCTCTTATGATTATGACAAACCATTATTTGTGGAGATTATATACACGTGTGTGTGTGTGTGTGTATTACAATGACACTTGAACTCTGACTGAACCATTTTGAGCAACAACATTTAGATTAGGCTACAGTATACAATCATAATTTTACTTCGATTTTGTCCTTCATATTAGGATCAATTTTAATACAAAAATACAATAATTAATATAAATAAGTTACCTTCTTCTATTGCACCCTTTGATTCCTTGATTGGTATTGAGCAGTGAGGAAATGCAGACAAATTTATAAGCAGCTGAAATAGCAAAATGTAAAAAAATAACATAGCCTGGTGCCTGTCAAGAAAAGATTAATAGATTAGTCACTACAGACTTTAGAAAGGATTAATCTCGCTCTAAGAATATAAGACACAAGTTAGCACAAGTCAAGTACAATGAACGCTGCATTGGAAACAGGTTACAGAACTCTCACAAACTAGCCTAACCTGTACAACCATTGCGGTTTCATAATATAAATGGCATTAGACTGCTCCCAGAAATTACACAAGAATCAGAAGGAAAGAGGAATATAACCACTGAAGACATAGGCCAAGCATTTGTACACCCATCTGCTACCACATTTCCTTTGCATAGAATTTTGCATGGCAAAGTTGCCTGGCTCACAAAATCCCATTCACAGAGCAAGAGATACGGAACTACAGGGATGAAAGGACATACATGTAAATAGTTAATCAGCATTTTACTGAATGCTGTTAAACCAGAAAACATAGCCAAGAATTATGACCTGTCTATGGATTGACTGATTTCTCCTCTTTCAAAAATACTTTGGCTTCAACATACCCAGGTGCTGAAACACACACTTTCCTAAGAACCCAAGGGACGACTGCTTCCCAAGGACTCTTGGGCTAGCTGCAATTACAACAAGGTTTTTCGAGGCTGGCTGGTGGGGTTCCCAAGAGTTGACTGTATCAGAGCAACTCTGTGAGAAGGAAACGAAGACTTAGCTACGCCAACTAATAACTTCTTAGCTCTCTTTCTCAAGCTAACTTCGTTTTCGGCCAAATCGTAATTCTTAATGGTCAGAAACCCGATTCGGACGGGCAGCAAAAGGAAAGTAAGCGAGTACTTTAGGCAAGAGAAACGAAAACATCTTTCGGCTTAAATCACGCTACTCATCCGCCCTGGCCGACATGATTTAGAAGCAGAGCAAGTAATCGGACGGGCACAGCAAAAGTCCCAGAAAGACTTTTATCTCGTCACTCGAGGAAATCCCACGAGGGAATGAGAAAGGCTCAGTGATTTCCTTTTTGTTCACCTTCCCTCCCCCGAGTGGCCTTTCCGAGTGGGTATGGCCGCTTTCCGCGGCCTTACCTGTTGCGTTCAATGCTCAGATGTTAGAAGTCTCGTCCGCTCCGCGAAGGCATCTTCTCTTCCCTAAACCCGCTTTCGATAATCTGCCTTTGTAACCGCCCACTTCAATTCCGGGAAGGCTCCGGAGGGTTGGAAAGAAGACTCAGCTGCGGAAGGGAGCGCATATTTAAACGTTTAAATCAGCTCCTAGTCAGTGTGCGAAACGAAGATTAATTTAACGTGATCAGAACTGTCTCCTGGGAAACAAGGCATTTTGCTGTCCTTGTTCCTCCCTTTGCGCAACACGTTCAACCCATGCTAGTCGGAAGTTGAATTCAGGTGGCCTTTTGCTGTGATTTGATACGACTGTAATTTCAAATAAGTTTAACACTCATTCAAGAGGTTGTTCGTACAATTGCAAAACGTTCCTAGCTACTAGCTGAAATAAACTACGATTTTATTTCTAATTCACTTTATATTGATTTGACTAGTATTTTGTCTATATTGTTGCCATGGCAATTTAACTTTTAAATTTAGGATGTATTCAAGCATGTCATGCTGTTTGAGGAACAATAAAATCTGGTCAGCATAAAATATAAACTGCTGGAATACTTCAGCCTTGTTGGACTAGGTTTTGCTCCTGTGAATGTGTTCTATGAAAAATATGAAATACATTACATTTTCTTGATGTCGCCAAATCTTCTGGAATTATTTACTAGTCCAGTTGAAAACACCACCAATAAACTTCTTTCCTGTACAATTTATATTAATCCAAAGACTGGAAATGCAGTGGTCACATACTGAATTATTTACATTAGCTCTGATAAATATGAGCATGTGTGATCTGCATTTTGTCCTTTGACCCACTGAAAATTTAATCAACAATGTTGTTTTAATTTAGTCGTGATATAAGGGCGAGTGTATACATAAAAGATAATGACATTTGCACCAATTATCTTTTGTGCAACTTTGTTGAATTATACAATGCTTGTAGACTAGCTGAATCAAATGTATTATGCTTGCTTTATGAATCAATTCCCTCCTTTATTCTGAAACATTTTAGGGTCATATTTTGGGTTATGTGTAGATTGAACTGGGCTAGGATATTGTTACTGTGGGATGTTGTCCTTTTCTACTGCCTTAGGTTGTTTTTCCATGGCTTTGCTTATATAGAAGGGTCAAGATTCAAGGTTGCTGTTTTGACTTACTCCAGATGGCTATGTTATGAGCAAACAAAGGCATTGTGATCAGTGGGCCCATCTTATCATCCTCCTTCTCTATGTATGGTTTTTTTTACACTTATGTTCACTGAGAACTGATTGGAATTGTAATGCCCTCTAGTGAAATTTTAAAGCAGTTGTGATTGTTTAATTGGATTCAGTTTACAGCAAAGTACTATAATTCCCTTATTGTATCCATTATTGATTCACAAGATACTTTCCGATATCTTTCATTTTTTAAAATTACGCTTATAAAGCAATTTAAAATACTCTAAATACTTTTAATGAGAGCCATTTTGCTGCAATGGTCATGGCATCAGGCTAGAAACTGGGAGACTGTGAATTCTAGTTCTGCCTTGAACACCAAGCCAGCTGGGTGATTTTGGACTAGTCACTTTCTCTTAGACCTAGGAAGGAGGCAATGACAAACCACTTTTGAAAAACCTTGTCACGAAAACTGCATGGACTCGTCCAGGCACCCTCAGAGAATTGGATATGATTGAATGGCAGATTTTTAAAAAAATATTATAAAATAAAATATACCAACAGCAGGTATCTCAATATAGTTCTATCTTGTAGGTATAGATTGATGGTATACAGTAGCTTATAAGGAGAATCAGTTTGGTGTACTGGATAATGTACCAGGCTGGAAACTTGGAAACCATGAGTTCTAGTTCTGCCTGAGCCACAAGCCCAGTTATAGGTTTGGGCAAGTTATTCTCTCTCAGCCCTAGGATATAACTGCCCATCTTACAAATATGATTCTCAAAAGCATCTTTGGTGTTACACTGTAGCTGTCTCACCAGTTCTCAATTTTTCTGAGATTGCAAAGGCTGTTTGACATGTTACCAAGGTTGCAACCAATCTCACCTCTCGAGGAATGATGCTCAACAGGGAGGACTTCAAAGCAGAAAAGGCCTGTCTCCTGGTTCCTGCCAGATATAACTCCTTAATAGACAGGACTTGCAGTATACGCCTTCCTGTCAGAACTGATGGGATGGGCATACATGATCAGAAAGAGGTGGTCTGTCAAAGCCTGATCCCATGCCACAAGGCCTTTAAAAGTCAAAATCAGTACCTTGAATTAGATGTACAATAAAACTGGCAACCAATGGAACTCACGGAGCAGAGTCACAATATGTGTCATTCTAGGAGCACACTTTAATTGTCCACACTGCTACATTTTGGACCAACTGAAGTTTCTAGATGCCCTTCAAGGACAGTCTGATGTAGAGCACATTACCGCAGTTGATCCAGGAAGTGACCATGATATGAGTGACCCTGAGCAGAGCTTCAGTCTTACCAGATAGACCAGTGGTGTCAAACTCGCATCATCATGGTGTCATCATGTGACTATCGGAAATTCCCCCCTTTGCTAAATTGGGTGGGGGCGGAGCCAGCACGTGACGCATCCGGCCTGCGGGTTGCAAATTTGACACCCCTGAGATAGACCAAAGAGGAAACATATCCAGATAAGCCAATTTTACTCTGTTGTAAAGCTACATTAACAGAATTTTTAAAGTCATCTCCTTTACAGCCCAAGAATTAGTCACTGCTGAGCCTCTTGTCCAGCTCACTATCGAGGTGCAAACTGTGCTGTCTCTTATCTGACCATTCCCTAGGTAGCATCTCTTCACCCTATCTCCCTATCTTTTCTGCATACTGGTACAAGAGCCTCTCAATGTAGGAAGAGGTGCAATGGCACATAGCATGAAGGTGTGCAAAGCCCCTCCTAGAGTATTAGAATTTTATACAAGTTGTGTCTTTGGGCTGCCCATTAGTATTTCTGGGTTCTCTGCTAATCTTCAGCCTGCTTGTTCTATGTAATGGGTTCACAGTTTTTGTATTCTACTTTATGTACCATTCCTGTTTTGCTTCTTTGGGTACTGGGTTTATGTGTCAGTCAGAAAGCTTTGCACAGATTTGTTGGTTTATATGCTTCACTTATCCTGAGTTGTCAGAGTAACTATTGGTGGACTCTGGAATGTCTTTGATGTAAGGGAGGTAGCTCTAAAAGACATTAAAGATCATTTCAACAATTGACTCAGTTGAAGAGAATTCCTGCTCTGGAGTTAACCTGTAATGAAGAAAAGTGCACCAGCCAAAATGGACAGGATTGCTCAAAGCAACATAAGGAGAGAGGGGGGAGCACTTTAAACCTGCAGCAGGAAACCATATCCAGTCATTGCATTTGCAATAGCAGGAGGGTGAGTACAGAATGATTCCATCTGTTTCTACCCTCTAAGAATAGTTGCTGACTTGTTTTGATAATGAGGAAATCAAGCAATGTAGATAACCTAAGAGTCAGATGGAAGAGTCAGATGGTTGGATTGTATGACACATACACTATATTGTTTACAGATTGCATATTTCCAAACCAAACTGAAAAATTGAGAATTGATTTGGGCCTTGGTGTCTTAAATAGATGGATGTCAATGTTCTTCTGCCTAAACTGTTTAAATTTTGCAGCAGAGGTTCTTCTAATTTATTTGCCTTTGAAAAGTGTGAGAAAACCTGTATGAAAGAGAAACTTTTTCTATTTGAAATCTGTCAAACCACCACCCGTCTAACTATAGGCCTTTAAGATAATCCTAAAGATTTATCTGCATTCCAATGCCTTTCCTAATTAATATTTGTATAGGGCTTATTCTAGATAAATATGTAGAGTCATAACCTTAAAACTGAAAATTAATTTAGAAAATTATTTTGACAAGACATTCCTATATTAATGAAGAATTATTTTCATTAATTTGAAAACCACAATAGAAAATTAGTTTCACTCCCACATTTTAATGAAGAAATAAAGCAGCCATTTTCCTTTCCTGTTCTAACATATATGCCATTTTTGATATATCTGAGAATAACTCAGAATGGTACTTTGATTTCTTATCAGATAAGAGAAGCCTTGGTACTCCAAGGATCAACGAAAGCACAGTTTCAAAGGCACCTTATGTGTTTATGTTAAAAAGCAATTATGCATAGGATGCAAGAAACTTCTTATGAAACTGAAGAATTTCACCAATAATTTATCATGATATACAATCATCTTAATTATTCTGCTTTTTGGAGTTCATAAGTTAATGTCTTATTTATATCACCAAATGCATCCACTTAGCAGAGTATGGTTATCATTATTCTTGTTAAAATCACAGCATTTTATTTTATTTTATTTTATTTTATTTTATTTTATTGCTATACCGCCCTTCTCCCCAAGGACTCAGGGCGGTGTACAGCCTAATTAAAAACACAAAGACAGACAAAATTTAAAAATTATTAAAATTATTAAATGATAGGCCCAATTTATAAAACCCCAAATTTAAAATCCCATTTAAAACCAATTAAAATCTTTATATTGATAGCCGAGCCTGGCGGAACAACAAGGTTTTGAGGGCACAGTGAAATACATGGAGATCAGAGATTTTACAAATTTCTGGGGGCAGTTCATTCCAAAGGGCAGGGGCTCCCACAGAGAAGGCCCTCCCCCTGGGTGTCGCCAGCCAACATAATTTGGCCGATGGCACCCTGAGGAGACCCTCTCTGTGGGAGCGAACTGGCTGGTGGGAGGCTACTGGTGGCAGAAGACGGTCTCGAAGGTATCCAGGTCCAGTGCCATGGAGCGCTTTAAAGGTGGTAACCAACACCTTGAATCGCACCCGGAAGACCACTGGGAGCCAGTGCAGCTCGCGCAGGAGGGGGTGTCACGTGGGCACAACGAGTTGCGCCCATAACCACCTGCGCAGCTGCATTCTGGACCAGTTGGAGCCTCCAGGTGCTTTTCAAGGGGAGCCCCATATAGAGAGCATTGCACTAGTCCAGTCGGGAGGTGACAAGGGCGTGAGTGACTGTGCGCAAGGCGTCGCGGTCCAGAAAGGGCCGCAACTGGCGGATCAGGGGAACCTGATAAACCCCCCCTGGCCACGGCCGTCATATGTTCTTCTAAAGACAGCCGTGCGTCCAGGAGGACGCCCAGATTGCGGGCCCTCTCTGTGGGGGGTAAAGACTCACCCCCAATAGTCAGCGATGGCACCAGCTGACTATATTGCGGCGCCAGGAACCACAGCCACTCGGTCTTGGAGGGATTGAG